GCAACTGTTGTTGTGATTTGGTGCTATAAAAATAAAACTGAATTGACATGAATTGAATTGGCCAAAAGTATGCACTCACCCATCCAAATTACTGAATTCAGGTATTACTATCACTTTCATGGCCACAGGTATATACGATTTGACACCAAGGCATGCTTGACTGTTTCTATAAACATTTACGAAAGAATGAGTTGCTCTCAGGACTTTAGTGAATTCCAGTGTGGTACCTTAATAGGATGCCACCTGTGCACAAATCCAGTCGTGAAATGTCCTTGCCACTGAATATTCCACTGAATATAGCAAAGGAAACGATTGGGAACACTGCGATTTTGATAGAATTGTGGACTTGAATTATTGAAAAAAGAAAAGGGAAAAGACAAAAATCCATAATATGTCTCATAATGTCCACTTTAAAATCTTTCATACTGTTTAAATGTTTCTGGAAACTGCTTAGATAAACCTTCCTCTCGTTCTACAGAGTAGTGCATCTGCTGCAGGCGACAGCCAGAGCAGTGACCAAGCTGCCTGCAAACACACTAAGGTAACTGAGTCTAACACCAGGAGAGGAAAGAACAGGAAGTGGAAAAAAAAGGTAAGACCATGCATATAAATATGGAATAAACCATGGAATAAAAACCTTAAAAAAAATAAAAAAAAAAGTAACCAGTAATAAGGGCTAACCTCAGAAGAAACTATCCCAGGTTTGTCCTGGACTTTGGCCAGCTGGTCACAGGAAGAGTCACCTTTTTAGATCCATTTAAAAACCATTTAAAACCACTGAAAAATTATCCTTTGGAGAAGAGCAGAGAATGTTGAAACCGTTTAATGAGTTTCTAGAACCAAGAACAGAACAGCACAGCAAAAACCAAGCAAACCTGGGGTGTACAGCCCTGGTGTTGCACAAGCAGCGGACAAAGACAGGCAATGACAAAGAGAAGGCGTAACAGAAAGATACAGAGAGAAGGGATATTTTGGCATCTTTCTGACACATTTATGGTTAGAGGTAATTCTGATTGCAACTTATTTATGGCCAGCAGGATGTTTTTGTAGCCAAAATCAATTACTTGTTACTAATGAATTAATAACTTATGACCACATAGTGTTGGTTAACTATTGCAGTTTTATGGTCACTGCAGAGCAATAGGTCATAAGACTTGATGCATAGTGTTAGCATGAACCATTAATCTTCGAGAGCAATTAATCAGACTATAAATCATGATATATCCATTCAACATATATAATATAGAGTATATAATATAAAATATAGATACAACTTAAGTCAGTGACACACGGTGACACAGATGATATTCCACCCTGTTGCCTAAACATGCAAACAAAAACATCTTACTGCATTGTTTACCAGTTTAACAAAATAAATAGGATCACATCAAAAAATACCTGCCTGTCTGCACTCTATATGGATGTCTTCATCTTTCTACACTCCTTCCTAGCCAATGGATTGTAAAATATTATTACCTACGTAGTTAGTTAAATATCTACTACTACCACAAGATGGCAGTAATGTAAAGGATGGATGCAAACATGCCAGGAGCTTTTTAGTTTATGTCAGTTTTTACATGCTTGTCCTGAAGAAGTGCCACTGATATAACTAAAAAATGTAGATAAGGCACAATGTACACATTGCACAATATAAAAACCAAAAGCTTAACATATTAATTCCCTACAAATGCTGTTGCAGCCGTCCTTGTCTGACCCTCTGCACTGCAGAGAGACCAGGCACTGTGGAACCATTCATAAGAAGAAAGGTAAACTGCGTGGAACCGCCCCTTATGTTTCCATCCCTCCACACAACTTCAAAGCCTATCAGCTGTACACACTGTACCGAGCAAAAGATGGCAAGATAATGCAGGTAAGTGAATAGACTACCATCACTGAGGGTGCCAATTTGGCACAAGTAAGGTGCTGTTAAATAACAACCAGGCTAGGTAGACACTGAGAAAAGCAAATAATTATTCTTCAGACAGTAAATGCCAGTATCTTGTATCTAGCTTGGTTACTGGTAATTATTAAAGTAGTTCTAATGATAGTATTTAAGTCTAGGATCCAGGTACATCACAAGATGCTGTGTTTTGCCCCTTGAAATTCTTTACAAAGCATTTACTACAGCCACCTTCAGATGTTGCTTGTTTGTAGGTCTCTGTTACTTCATTTGTATCCTCAGCAACTGAAAAGCATGTACTGTTAGGTTAGGATGTTGTGACCGAGTTGGCCATTGCAGAATATCAATTTTTTGCTTCGAGAAGCTATTGGTTTGCTTTTGTAGTATGCTTTGGATAGTTGTTCACTCACACTATGAAGTCTGTGCGATCATTTACACCACATGGCTTAATCTGAGCGGAGAGTATAGTTTTGTACATTTCACAATTCATCAGCAGCCAGTTTGTTCTTGGCTATAACGAGTGGTTTGCACCTTGTTGTAAATCCTCTGTATTTACATTCATGGACATGTCTCTGATATCTCCTTGAGTGTGTTCTTGACTTGGCTAGTCAGGTTTCTATTAATCAAGAAAAAAAAAGTGCTTGTTCATTTTTGTGGGCTTGCAGGCTTTTTGTTGCTGCTGAGCTGGCTATTAAATTCCTTCTTTTTAAGAATGTACCATATTGTTGATTTTGCCATTCCATTTTTAATAGCTATAGTATGTATTAACATGTTGAAGTTTGTATGGATATATCTTGAAAATATGACCTAGTGTCTCAATGATTTTACCTGTATAAATAAAGGTGAAATAAAAAAATAAAATTCCTAAAGTTTTTTTTTCTATCCTTCAGACAGGTTTATTTTGTTTTTTAAGACCTCTAACTAAACCACTACATTGGACACTGATGTGCCACCCCATACTCTGCCACACACTGGTCGTTATATGTTACTATGATGTGTTTATTTAACCCTGTCATGCATGAATTATCACAATCTCAATCAGGATTTTCTTCTTAAGTATTTTTATTCTTCCTTTCATACCAACAGATAAATAAAAATACTTAAGAAAAATATCCTGATTGAGGTTGACATAACTTATGGATGAACGGGTTAGTAGTGTGTATTAAATCGTGTAATAAAATAATTAAGAGACACTTATACCACAGTGACCAGAGCGAATAATGACGATTTAAAGAAAATGTCCATTTGTTTGTCGTAGCAATGCTTCTTGGCATTAAATCCTCTCTGTTGCTCAGCCCACAAATGCATTTTTCTTTCAAATGTGACATCATTTAAGAGGAAATGAAAAAGCTTTCCCATAGTATGATTTATTGCTAAGAAACGTTGTTACTGCAGCAAAATACACAAATCCACAAAACTCGTATTTCCCTTTTTTCTGCTGGAATTTCCTTAATTTCCTCTTCTAACATTACACAAACCAAAGGTTATTATCACACTGTTCATAAACTTCTGGATTTTGTCCAAAATGGACTGTGGCATGCCTATGGTGGAGGTCTGAAGAAAATTGTGAATTCTGCTTTTGATTCATGCAAGGAGCTTCAGTCTACTACTCTACTACTTTCCTCTGGTGTATTTTTCTATTTATAATAACCCTGGGTCTATGCTGAGTGTGCGCAGCTGATGGGTGCTATGTAAAACGCCTGAATGTGCTGTAGAATGTGCTACATTCTACAGGCAACCCTCCACCTCTGCCCTTCAACCTACCTGTAGACTGTAGAATGTAATGATGGGCTAAAACATAATGGCCCTTCATGTTTAATGTGACCATTGAGGCATATCAGGCAACTGTACCAAGCACTCACTATTTATCTGTTTTAAAGGTAAAGAGTTAATTACATCACATGTGAGTGCTCAGAATGTTTTCATTTATTCCTAATGAACATCCTTGTTTCTGTCATTTTTCCACTACAATACCTTAATGATTTAAATATGGATTTCTGGTTTGTGTTACAGGCTCCTCTGAATGGCTGCCGCTGTGAGCCTCTCATAAATAAACTGGAAAACCAGCTGGAAGCTACCAAGGAGGAAATGAAAACTGAGATCCACATCATTCAAGACCAACTGAACACCAAGATGGGCCAGCTCGACCGCAAGAACAAACACCAGGTAGCATATACAGTTGCTCATTGCAACTGATCCACAGAAGAAAGTAAGCACTCACATAACATTAACTGCAGTTGGTGCTATTCACCAGGTTAACAGCATTTCAGAGGCCTCCCTACCTCTCAACTCTGCCGCCCT